AGAGAGAGAGAGAGAGAGAGAGAGAGAGAGAGAGAGAGAGAGAGAGAGAGAGAGAGCTCTTGGAAAACTCAAACCTAAATGGTAGTTCTACATTTAAGCCTACTCTGCCAGAGCTCAGGGACCTACCACCCCTGTGGAAGAGAAGGCAGAGAGCAAGCACCAGAGGAGATGAAGGAAACCAAAAAACAAAATAAAAAACAAAAACAAGGTCCAGTAAGTCAACATGAGCAATCCTCTATGAACTCTGATGCAGCATGCACAGTGCCTGTAAGGGTCTGCACCAGGTTTTCTCCATATGTATAATGGCTTCCAGTTTAGTCTTTGTATGAGCATGCAGTGGAGTGGGTATCTTATTTTTTTTTTTTTGTGCCTTCTCTTGGGTTCTATTCCTTCTGCTGGTTTGTCTTGGCCAACTTTAATGTGATATTTTGGTTTTATCTTACTATATTTTATTTTGTTATATTCTATTATTATCTCTTAGAATCATGTTGTTTTCTAATGAGAGACAGAAAGGAAATGGATAGGATGAGAGGGAAGGTGGGGAGAAGCTAGAAGGAGTAGAGGGGGAAAATCATAATCAGGGTATATTATGTTAGAAAATACTCTATTTTCAAGAAAAGGAAACAAACAAACAAAAAAGCCAATACCCAGTTGCAGCTACAGTACTGTAAATAGAACAGCACTATTCCTAGCTGTTCATGACGTGATGCTGAACAAGTCACGGAACGCGTTGGTGTTTGCAAAATGAGGAAAGTTAGAGCAATTACTTACTGGGGGAGTCTCGTGTACTGCTCAGAATATGTAGCACCAAATGGGGGTCATCTCAGCGCTGTTATTATCAGCACTGCAGGTTCTTTAAGCAATTAAAATATCACAGTGCCTGGAGATTGTGCAATATGATGCAAAATCAATTTTATAAAAAAGATCCATGAGAAGAAATAGGCTTCTTGAGAAAACTTGAGGAGACAACCACACATCTGGATACAGTTTACTTAGTAGTATAAAATACAATGTAGAATCTTAAAATTCTAGAATTTAAGTAAGCACTGTGTAGCTTAAAATTGTCTTAAAACATTAATTTAAAGATTACTGAGAAGGAGCCTGGAGATACGGTTCAGTAGTTAAGAGTGCTTTCCAGTACAATGGAGGACTATAATTTTGATTCCAATCTTCATCAGGTAGCTCACACACACCTATAACTAGCTCAAAAGAATTTGATGTCCCTGGTTGGTTTCCATGGGCACTTGCATATATATATATATTTGCATACACACCAATACATAGATACACAGACACACTCACATTCAAGTAAATCAAATATATCTTTGAAACTGATTAATAAGAAAATCAGAAGAACATTTTATAATGTGGCTTAACAGTGAATAATCATTCCCAGTGCCCATGGAAATTATCTTTAACATGTATTCCCTGACAATTGCATATATAAAATATTTTTAATGTTTGAAAAAA